TGTTCTTCTATTTTGGTTTCATAGGCACTCTGAGAAATTTTCAAAATGTTTCAAATGATCTCATCTCATTTATAATCAGCTGGGATGGGAAACATTAAAGGAGACGCACAACAGAAACATTTTTCTTCTGTTCGATGTTTTTGACTGCTAACAAGTTTTACGTCACTTCGAGCAGAAATGGCAAAAAAAGCTAAAAGTCCTCGTTACTATCAAAATTTAAATACATGTCCCATCAGGTGCCTTCTAGGTCAATCCTCTTCAAGGTCATTCCAGTGGCGAATTCTTTGGCAGCAAATCTGTGTAGTATTATGAGATGACTGAAACAATTGGTAAATCCCACAGGTAAATGCACTGGGAATCATACCTACTCCTTCACGACTCTGCTCAGAGATTAGCCCATTTCGCATTTTTATGGGTCTTTTATGTCGATTAGTATTATGTGCTTGCTGTATTTGCATTGTGACTCAAGGAATGTTCTTGTTACTTGAAAACTCGGAAAAAACTTGGAATATCCTAAAAAGTTGTACAGGAAAGTGGTTACCGCTCCATGTACGAACTTGATTTCGTCGCCGCTCGTTGTTGGGCTTTTCTTAGGCACTTCTACTTATCGACGCAGTAGCTGAGTAGCAAGTACCAGTCGGCGAAGCAAAAGGAGTGAATGTTTAGCTGGGAATCGCTCCGCTGTAGGTAAGCGAAAACGCTGAGTTTCATTTGACTATTAGGAGGGGCAAAGAGTAAGTAGTTAATAGTCATAAATTAGTAAGTCAAAGTACGGTCCGATCTACAGGACCAGGCGATTAGCTAAGAGTTGAGTAAAAGATAACTCCAATTGTTGACAGGAAGGAAGTAGGGGTCAAATTGATCAGCTCATAGGACGTCAAAGGAAAATTCGTCAAGACTAGCGGTCAAAAGATTTGAGTAGTCGAAAAATAGGGCTCAAATTTTTGGATATTTTGCTAAGAAACTACTGACACTTTACAAAATCTATGCTGTTTCTTTCGACTCTGATGAAAACCTGCATAATGGTCCCAACTTGCATAAGCTGCAAGTAATCGGAAGTGGAGATATTAAATTAATAAAAAAAATGTACTGTGGCATGTTCATGGCGTGTAGAGATGAAATGAAATGTCGCTGAGGGAACAGATGAAGAGGAATCCAGTCAGTGGGTAGCAATGGGTAGCTT